GGATATTAGGTCAGTGATGTAGTTCGGGCAGTATGGTGGACAGCTTTGTACGTCAGCGTTAGGATTTTGAATTTGATCCGTTGCGCAATCGGAAGCCAGTGGAGGGATTGGCAGAGGGGGTGTGGCGGAGACAGAGCGGTTGGAAAGGTGAATGAGTCTGGCAGCCGTATTCAGGATGGACTGAAGCGGGGATAGCCAGCGGCGAGGCAGGCCAGTGAGGAGGAGTTGCAGTAGTCGAGTCGTGATATGATGAGGGAGTGGATGAGCTGTTTAGTGGTTTCTGGGGTTAGGAAAACGTGCGGATTTTGGCGATGTTGCGGAGGTGGAGTCTGCACGAGTTTTGTTAAAGATTGGACTTGGGGCTGGAAGGATAGGTTGGAGTCCAGAATGACACCCAGTACTCTGGCCTGCAGGGCGGGTTTGATGGTAGCGTTGTTGGACGTGACGGAGAAATCAATGGGGGGTGGTGTCCGGGCTGGGGGGAAGACAAGAAACTCGGTTTTGGAGAGGTTCAATTTAAGGAAGTGGAGCGACATCCAGTCTGATATGTCGCTCAGTAGGTGTGTGATTCGGGCTGAGACCAAGGGGGTGAGGTGGGGGTTGAGAGATAGATTTGTGTGTCGTCGGCATAGAGGTGGTAGTTGAAGCCGTGAGAGTGTATGAGTTGGCCAAGGGAGGAGGTATAGATGGAGAAGAGAAGGGGCCCCGAGGACAGAGCCTTGAGGGACCCCAACAGAGAGGGGGAGTGAGGGGGAGGTGGTAGCATTATAGGTAACGCTGAAGGAGCGTTGTGACAGGTAGGATGAGAGCCAGGAGAGAGCAGAATCTCTGAGGCCGAGGGAGTGTAGTTTTTTGAGGAGGAGGGGGTGGTCGACTGTGTCGAAGGCCGCAGAGAGGTCAAGGAGTAGGAGCACTGAATAGTGGCCATTAGCTTTGGCGGTTAGCAGGTCGTTGGAGAGTTTGAGTAAGGCAGTTTCGGTGGAGTGTAGGGGACGGAAGCCGGACTGTAGGGGATCGAGGAGGTTGTTGTCGTTGAGGTGAGAGCATAGGCGGGTGTAGACTAGGCACTCGAGAGTTTAGATGTAAATGGGAGCAGGGAGATGGGTCTGAGGTTGTTCGGGTCATTGGGGTCCAGGGAGGGCTTTTTAAGTATGGGGGTGATGTGTGCATGTTTCAGAGGGGAGGGGAAAGTGCCTGAGGAGAGAGGAGAGATTGAAGATGTGGGTGAGGGAGCGTAGGATGGAGGAGGAGGAAGGTCGTAGGAGTTGTGAGGGGATAGGGTCGAGGGGGCAGGTGGTGAGGCGGGCATCAGAGAGGATCTTGGAGACTTCCTCGATGGTAGTAAGGTCAAAGGTGCGGAGTGTGGGGGGAGCTTCAGTATGAGGAATGTAGGGTGGGGTGGGAAGAGGAGGTCAGAGCAGTGGTGGGGCCGTGGGAGAGGGGTGATGAGGGGGTAGCTGAGTGAGGGTGAAGGGGGTTTGGAGAGAGTTTGAGCAGCGACGAAGTCCCTGCGGGTTATGTCGAGGGGGAGGGGGGATAAGGGGGTAGCTGTGTGAGAGGGGACGGGTTGAGAGGGCGTGTGAGTTGCGGCAATGTCCTTGCGAATTGTGTCAATCTTGTTTTTGAAGTGATTGGCAATCTCAAGGGCAGTGAGTGAGGTGCTGGGTGGAGGTGGGGGTGGGAGAGTAGAGAGCTGAAGGCAGAGAAGAGTCGGTGAGGATTGGAGGAGAGGGCCTTGATGAGGGTCAAGAAGCAGGCCTGTTTGGCAGCATGGAGGGAGGAGGTATAGGTGCGGAAGGCAGATTTATAGCGGTGAAGCTTGTTGGGATTTGGTTTTGCGCCATAGTCGCTCCAGGGCACGACTTTGTCGTTTGAGGGTTTTGGTGTGATCAGTCTGCCAGGGCTGGAGCGGTCGGGGTCTGATGTTGCGTGTGGTTAAAGGCGCTAGTGAGTCAAGGGCTGTTGAGAGCGCATTGTTGTAGGCGGTCAAAGCCAAGTCGGGGCAGGACAGGGGGGAGGATGCGGTCGTGGAGTTGATCAGCTGCAGAGTGGAGGGAGGCAGGGTTAAGGTTGCGGAGGTTACGGCTGGTAGTAGTGTGACATTTGGAGGGGTAGGCGTTGGAGGACGAGGAGATAGAGAAGGTGATCAGGTTGTGGTCAGAGAGAGGGAAGGGGGTGTTAGTGAGGTTTGTGGGGAGCGCAGCGGTTGGAGAAGACAAGGTCCAGGATATTTCCGTCGGAGTGGGTGGTGGATTGTATGCACTGTGCAAGTGCAAAGAAGGAGGAGGTTAGGTGGAGGAGACGGGCTCTGTCTGGGTTGTCGAGGTTGACAGGGATGTTGAAATCCCCAAGGATGATGGTGGGTAGCTCAGAGGAGAGGAAGAAGGGTAGCCAGGAGGAGAAGTCATCCAGGAAGCGGGGTATGGATCCAGGAGGCCGGTATATCACAGCAATCTTCAGGGGGGTTGGGGAAGAATAGTCAGACGCAGTGGGCCTCGAAGGAGGAGAAGGATAGGGAGGGGGGGTTTGGGAGGACTCGGAAGGTGCTCTGCGGTGACAGGAGCAGACCAACCCCACCACCTTTACGACCGTTAGGCCTGGGTGAGTGGGTCCAGGTGAGACCTCCGTAGGAGAGTGCAGCAGGGGAGGTAGAGTCAGTGGGCTGGATCCAGGTTTCCGTGATCGCTAGGAGTTGAGGGAGCGGGAAACAAAGAGGTCGTGGATGGCGGTAAGCTTGTTGCACACCGAACGGGTGTTCAGGAGTGCACATGAAAATGGGGGGAGATTTTAGGGAGCAGGGGGGGACAGATACTAAGTTGTGGGGGTTGCAGTAGGACGTGGAGGTGGGAGGGTGTTGAGCGGGTGAGGGAGGTGGAGGGCCAGGATTCGGGGAGATGTCCCCCACGGTTAGGAGGAGGATTAGGGTGAGAAAGGTGGCATGGGAGCGGGATGTGCAGGAGCGTAAGAAACTCCTAGTGGAGGTGTTGGGGTCAGTGGGAGAGCGGAGTAATAGGAGGAGGTGGTGGGTGCCATAGAGGGGCGAAGGGAGCAGTGAGGACACAATATACAATTGTTTGGGAGGGGCAGAGGGATATAGTGAATGGATTTTGGGAATGGAGGAGAGGAACATGAGAAGGAGGAGTGGAAGAGGCATTTTGGGGAGGTGAAGAGAGCAATAGTAGGAGATGATAGCAGTGAGGGGGAGATGTACAGGTTGTGGGGTGGAGCAGAGGGGTAAAGAAATGAGATTTGGGAACAGAGGATAGTAATGTGATAAGGAGAAGAGGGGGTGTATTATATAAAGGTACACAGAGTGGGACTCAGGCATGTAAGAGGTTTCCCAGGGTGTTTGCTTGCAGTCTTCCAGCATGCAGTAGAGCTTCTTGCTGTTGTTGTGTCTTCCTGCTGCTTGAGTTCTCCTGCTTTAGTTCAACTGCTGCGTTTAACTGCTTCTTCTATGCACTCGTTCTAAGCCGCACTCAATCTGAAGCAGCACCCCCATCAGAGACTGTGCCCCCCATCAGAGATCTCCCCCCTGAGCTGATCTAAATTTATAGGGAGATGCTCAAATGAGCATTCAACTCCACCCCAATTAGAAGCTGATAAGGATCACATGAGTAGTGGGGGATGTTTCTCTCAGGAAACAGACAACAATCGTAAAACGGGTGCAGCTAAAGGCTGGTCAACATATACACAAATATAAATACACCATTTGTTCTGAATATAGCAGGAGTCAATAGATTCCAAATGCAAATACCACACTTAGAATCAACATCAGACCTATTACCTGCTTAATTGATGAAGAAATAACGAAGGAGTAGCCCACACACCTGGCCATAAAACAGCTTTTGATTCAATTATTTATTTATTTATTACAGATACTTATATAACACTGTCAATTTTACGCAGTGCTTTACATATATATTGTACATTCACATCTGTCCCTAACCCTCAAGGGGTGTACAATCTAAGGATTCAATTGTCCAATACTTTTGGTCCCTTGAAAAAGGGGGGGATGGCTACTCTTAAAAGCTGTAATTCCTAAACCCTTCCTCCAATTTGGATGTACATACCCTCAAAGTAAACCTGAGAGTGTGCACTTTCAGCCCATATCCATTATATAACTATAGCTTGAATATGTTTTGGTAAATACCTGAAAAAATATAAAATTGTGCCTGTGTCCAAATATATATGGACCTAACTGTAATGTACATTACACTTTATATACTTTTGTGTATGCAGTATGTTTTAGACAGGAATCATACATCTGCCCCCAAAGGCCAACTGTCTTGTGCCTCTTGCTGACTGTTCAGTGTGTACATTTAAACTTTTGGTCACTGAACTTACATTTTGAATTCTAGGACAGTTGCTCAACTGGGGTTTCTGCTAGAGGTCCCCAGGGGCCCTGCTTCTGACCAATGTTGTAGACAATGGATGCTTTAACGTTCCCCCTGCTGTGACTGCCATTGCAGTGGATTCATGTCAGCCTATGCTACCACAGTGAGCCACCAGACAAGCAATGGACAAGGGATGCAGTTTAGTCTTTTAGTCATTATTCGATCGACAACTCAATGACACACTAACATATTGTGACCTATTGATTTGGATTTCTTTTTTAACCACTTGCCTACCGGGCACTTATACCCCCTTCTTTACCAGGCCAATTTTCAGCTTTTCATTGTTTCTCACAATTAGAGCTTTTTTTTGGTGGTATTTAATCGCCGCTGGGAGCTTTACCTTTTGCGCTATAAACAAAAAAAGCAAAAAATTAAAAAAAAAAAAACAAAATTTTTTCTTTGTTTCCATTATAAAATTTTTCAAACAGGTGGCACGGATAGGCGGCACTGATAGGCAGCACTAATGAGGTGTCATGGATAGGCGGCACTGATAGGCGGCACTGATAGACGGCACTGATAGGCGGCACTGATAGGTGGCACTGATAGGCGGCACTGATGATGGGTACTGATAGACAGCACTGATAGGTGGCATTGACTGGCGCAACTGCTGGGCACTGACTGGCACAACCACTGGGCACTGACTGGCAGCACTGCATTGATGGGCACTGGTGGTTGGCACTGGTGGGCACAGGTGGGTGGCACTGCTGGGCACAGGTAGGTGGCATTGCTGGGTGGCACTGCTGGGCACAGGTGGGTGCACTGCTGGGCACAGGTGGGCGGAACTGGTGGGTGGCACTGCTGGGCACCAATTATCAGGGCACTGATCATCAGTGCCCTGATGATCGGTGCCGATCCCTGCTCTGACAACTGCCGGTTTTCGGCAGTACTTTCCCCTGCGCTCTGACAGCATGAGGAAAGTGCAGCCGAGAACCGGTAATTGTATTTCACAGTGATCAGCGTGTCATTGGATACGGCTGATCACGTGGTAAAAGGCCGCTGTGATTGTCCTTTTACCACATCACGTGATCAGCTGTGTACGTAGGACACAGCGATCACAGAGATCGTCGGGTGCACGCCCCCGGGGGCGCATAGGAGATTGCGTTCTGGGAGGACGTCATATGACGCCCTTCCAGAACTGGCCGGCCGCAGTGTAGCCGTCATTCGGCTATCTGCGGTTGGCAAGTAGTTAAGGGGTTCCTTCAGGGTAAAATGGGGAAGACTGATCTGGGATTACAATATCTTCAAAAGATGGTAGTAGGAGACAACAATTCCTGTCAATGGATAAGGCGTCCCAATCAGCTAATTTGTGGGTTTCATTTACACTTCTGGACAAAATTTTGGCTGTTGTAGGACCATCCATAGGACCTTTTCATTTTGAGGCCTTTACTTTATTATTATTATATTATTATTACCTTTATTTTTTGGCTACCAAAGTATAGACGTTCCATTACTATTTATACCTCAGATCAGCAGGCAGATTGGTGCAGGCTGTATGACTTATACCACACCCATCCTAATACTCACAATTTGACACTATTTTCAAGATGTGGCCTTACAAGTGATTTGTAGAGTGGCAAGACTATATTAGCATCACTTGTTTTATATCCTTTTTTGTATATGGCATTCTTCATTAATGACATCTACACATCCATTTTGACTATATAATACATATAATTACATTGAAAGACGAACACCTGTATAAAACCCACCTTGGAATGCATGAAGCAAGGATATATATATATGATAATGGCTTTATTGCACTTGAAGATCTGTTTATTTTTCTTCTTAGGCTGTCCCAGTGCTAAAGCTGTTCATAGTAAAAAACTAAGAGTTGGAATTAGTATAATGAACAGATGGTAAAACTTTTAAAAGAGATGTCATTTTACCCCTGTACCATTAGTAAGACCTCATCTGCAATACGCAGTTTAGTTTTGGGCACCAATTCACAAAAAGAACATTGGGGAACTGGAGAAAGTGCAGAGAAGGGCAACCAAACTGATAAGAGGCATGGAGGAGCTCAGCTATGAGGAAAGATTTGGGAAACTCAATGTATTCTCTCTTGAGGAGATTAAGGAGGATATGATCAACATGTATAAATACATCAGTGGTTCATATAGTGAACTCGGTGTAGAGCTATTCACCCTGAGATCCTCACAGAGGACAAGGGGGCACGCTTTACATCTGGACAAAAATAAATTTAATCTCCAAACACGGAAAGGTTTCTTCACAGTAAGAACTGTGAAAATGTGGAATGGACTCCCTCAAGAGTTGGTTCTGGCCAGCTCAGTGGATTGCTCTAACCTCTTCCATATACTTTTACCCCCTTCCTGCCGAGGCCATTTTTCAGGTTTCAGCGCTCTCACACTTTGAATGACAATTGCGCGGTCATACAACAACATTGTACCCAAACTAAAATTTTATAATTTTCTTCACACAACTAGAGCTTTCTTTTGGTGGTATTTAATCACCATTGGGGTTTTTATTTTTTGCTAAATTAACAAAAAAAGACAGAAAATTAAAAAAAAAAACACGCATTTCTTTGTTTCTGTTATAAAAGTTTGCAAAAAAATAATTGTTCTTCATAAATTTAGGCCAAGATGTATTCTGCTACGTCTTTGGTGAAAATAACCCAAATTAGGATGTATTTTTTTCGTTTGTAGGAAAGTTATAGAGTTTACAAACTATGGGATATATCTGAATATTGATCAATCCTGAAGTACTGACAGCCAATCTAATTTCTTGAGGTCAAAGAATGTCAGAACAGTACAGATATCCCCCAAATGACTCCTTTCTGCAAAGTAGACAGTCCGACGTACTTCATAAGAGGCATGGTGAGTTTTCTGAAGTTGTATTTTTTTTGTCATAATTTTTCGGAAAATGAAAAAATTTAAAAAAAATTTTTTTTTTTTTTTTTACATACTGTCACCAGTGCAGTACAGCGTCATCATATAACTGCCATGGCGGTGATCAGGGACACTGACTGGTGACAGTATGAAAATATATATATAATTTTATTTACATTTTTTTTTTTTTATTACATTTTTTTTCTTTTTTTTAAGATTTTTTTTCATATTTCACTATGACCAAAGTAGTACCATAGTAACATGTTACTACTTTGGGGAAGTGATCAGTATTATTTTTTTTTTTTTTTACACAATTTGCTTATAGCAAAGAATTACTTTGCTATAAGCAAGCATTTACCTGAATGACATTGATTCATTCAGTGTTTTTTTGTTGTTTTTTTTTTTTTGTGCTTAGCTGTGATTTGGCCACGGCTAATCACATGACACAGCTGGGCTGTGATTGGCCCAGCTTGTGTATGTGATCGCTGTGACCATTCACAGCTAGACATACTAGTATACAATGGATGGCATGCATGAAGCCATCCATTGTATACAACTGTCATGTGACCTGCTGTGATTGGTCACAGCAGGTCACATGGTACCTGCAACAGGGCCGGTACTCAGATCTGTCATCGACCGTGTCTGAGGTACATGGCCGGCGACAGATCGCGCCGCTGCGCGGCTCTGCAGGCGTGCAAGCTGCGCATGCCCGGGAGGACGCCATACGGCGTCCACCCGGAACGCTGAGGGATTTTGCCGGCTGCCAAACGGCCATTGGCCGGGCGGCAAGAGGTTAAAAAGGCCTGGATTATTTTTTGGATACACAGAATATAACTGGATACTAACATTTATAGGTAAGGTTGATCCAGGGAATATCCGATTGCCTCTCGGGGGGATCAGGAAGGAATTTTTTTCCGCTGCAGGAGAAAATTGGATCATGCTTTGCTGGGATTTTTTGCCTTCCTCTGGATCAACTGTGGGTGTAGGATTATAACTTTTTTTTTCAATGATTGAACTGGATGGACTTTTGTCTGTTTTCAGCCAGACTAACTATGTATGTAACTATCTCGGGGGTTAAAAAGGGCAGGAGTGTAAAGAGTAGCCCTCTCATCATTTCGGCCTCTACCACATATGTGACGCAAAGACTTACAGTTTGTTTTCTTTAAAAATTTGCCAAATTCTGAGTAGAAGAGCCTGTCAGCCCTCTCAGCATGTAGGGTAGGGTAGATGGGTGGTACCTCCAAGATATTTCCCTCCTCATTGGGCGCCAAGTGTGGGTAACATGAAAGGTTTAACCTGGGGTGGGTTATTCCGGGCTACACTGGGCAACTAGGACAGGTCACTGTCTTGGACATGGGGTACCTTTACTTGTGCCATGGTCACCAAAGCCCTGGGACAGGGTGGAGGTCGCTTTCAGGGATAGCTCAACCCTAAGACAGACCTCCAGCTACAAGATGGCTGTACACCGTGTACCCTTGAACAGATGACTGAACTCTAGGTAACTCTCTTGAGTCCCATGTCAATGTGCACCACTACTTTAACTTGTTTTATTTAGGAGGGACACGCGGATGCCCTCTCCTCCTGTCAAGCGTATCTCCGCTACCTCACTCCCAGTATCGTAATAGAATCCCACCACTCATCTAGCGTGGACTCAATGTGTGCACTCACTTAACTCTTTCTCTTCCGTACCCTTGACCAGGCCAGGTGCCTCTGCAGTGCTGATCTGCTCCATTGCTATGGGAGACAGACTGCTTGGAGAGAGTGCCGACAACTCCCTCTTTGCCATCCCACTTGACATAGGTACACGCTTCTTCACAGGCTGCTAACTAGACCTTCCTTACCCTTGGTAACCACTTGCTGCTCTCATGTCTCAATGTGCTTACTGACCCAGACTGGAAACTATGTGTGTGCCAGTTACTTAAATACACCCCTTTAAAAAAACTTCAGAACAGGAAGAGGGAAAGTTTCAATACTTTACTTGAATAACTTGAGCAGTCCATATGACAGAATACAGCTCTTCCTTAACCTAATCCCTAACTACAATGGCTGACCCAGCATACCTGCACAGGCACAAATCAATCCATGGAAAGTTCTTATAGGAGATGCTCCAGAATACTGGTGGCCTCAGAAAGGACTGCAAGTCCCAGCAATCCCCCTACATTTTGGATGGTCTTCGGACATGCAGTGCAATTGGACACAGGCACGGGACTTTGTGGCTCCCCAACAGGTTCTCTGACGGCTCCATCTGCTAATGCCTCAGGTTCACTAGCTCCTCCGGGCTCTTGGACTCAAACCACCTTGCCCATTCTCTTTTATAGCCACACAGGACCAGTGGGTTAAACCCATAAAAACCTGCGGAAAGCCAGACCAGGAAATAACAGCAAGTTTAACTCCATCCCTCCAGGCTGGGGCTGCACCTAACTACTAAGTTTTAGGCAAGCCACCTAGAAGAATGCTGTAGAGAAGCATCCTTGCTTTCTCTGGGGAAGCAGTGGTCTTTCTTCAGAAGTCTGGCATGCACCCTGATATGTCAGAGCCAGAGCTTAGCATGGGACACGTCAGAGCTCTCCAATAAGACCACGGAAGGTAAATCAATCACTGGTATTTAAAACACATGCAACAGGAAGATGCACCTGCATCACTATTTTATAAATGTCACATTAGAGGGTCATTTAGACAATTGAATGGTTGTTGGCAGCAACTTGTACAGTCCCTGTCCCACTCAGATAAGAAAACTGGCCACCTATTGGGTTAAACTCTCTGCTATATTGTGTCATACTCCCATCGGCCTGCTCACAACATCCCCAGCCAAAAGCCTTAATATTTAAGAACAAAAGGAATGTAAAAACATTTCAGCACTTTCAGCACTTTACTGCAACTTCACATTTTCACAAAGCTTCCCACGACATTTCAAGTTTAACATACTATCAGAATCTTTGGCATGGAACACCAAGAGCAAGGTTAACACTCTGTAGCAGTCATTTAGTGCAGAGCACATCTTTTAGTTAAGCCATCTTCCCTCTTCTCCATTCCTTTCCTTGGGAGCACCACAGAGTTGGGACCACCTCCCTACATATATTAAGTCTACAGCATCGAGCTT